GTTCATGCGTAGATATATGGATTTTGTATGTTCGAACGTTATTAGATATACGCGGGTGTACACACACACATGTATGTATCGAGATGAATGATCGTGTGAACGTACCATCTAGACGATCGTTTTGTTTTTAGAGAGAGAGAGAGAGAGAAAAAAAATCGATAAAGCAGCTCTTTGTATGTAGAGTATAAAGTACGCACATTTACACACGCAGAGGCCAAATTACGTCTGTGTGCGAGCTTTGAAAAATGAACTCTCGAGATGTCCCGGCGCACATGCTCGTGTGGCCAGGCATGGCTCTACATATATATTTGAATAATAAAGAACAAGACGAAGAAGAGACAGAGAGAGAGAAAAGAAGAAGGAATAACTTTGAAAGCAGTTTTTCTGTCGTGTATCTATCGCGTTCGCTCTTTGCTCAAATATTTGCGAGCGAGGCAGGATGGACGTGTGCGTATGCGCGTGAACGACACGTTCGTCGTCGTTCGCGAAATGGCACACGCGTTTGAGAAAAAAAAAATTATACGATCGCGCTGTGCGATGGGCTGTGCGGGTGTCGTGAATTTTTATACTCGACACGAAAAAGAAGAGGACTTTACGAAGCTACCGATTTTTCAAATGCCTTTGTAAATTAATATAACGAACAAGTTGATTCTCCTTGATTTATTATTATTTGTAACACTCTAACCTAAAAATCGCAACTTTGCCGCTAGTTTTAGACTCTTATGCTGTAAAATATTAAGGAAGTTATTTCAACATATTTTGAGAAATGATACCAACCCTATTTGATAGATTAAATCACGCTGAATTCAATGGTATAATTATTTATGTGGCTTACGCTTCAAAATCTCAAGCTATTTTATCTCAAAGTATGGCATTTTTAATATTAGCCTTATGGAACGACCACATTCATCAATTATTTATAAACTAATAACTTTCAGGCACGCTTCGCGCGCGTACATTTTTCAGTCGGTTCCGAAAAAGTTGCTATTTTGACCGTAGATGTCACTTTATTACGTTTCGACTCGAGTCAAAAGTCAGTCGAATAATCAGAGGCCGAATAGATTGGCTTCACTTTTAGGATCATCATTATTTTAAGAGAGGAAAACATTAATTTGTTAGGGTATCGGAGTGTACAGGGTTTATAGAAAAAACCCTCATCTTTCTGCCTAGACATATAAACAGGGCTTACGCTGCAAAAAATCAAGATTTTTCTCGTCAAAGTGAAAACAACGATGTTTTTGTTGTGAATTGGCCGATGCCAGACTACGCAGTGCGTACTGCGCAAATAAAATTTACAGCTCTAGGCAAGAGGTCACTATAGAAAAAACTTGAACTGAAAGAACCTCCTTGAATTTAATTGAAAAAAATCATTACAAGACCAATAGTGCATGAAAAATGAGCATTTGTTCATCAATTAATGTAAACATTTTTTTTTTTCATTTGAGTGTATTTACCTCGTAAGAAGTATTTACACTAACTTTATTTAAATGAGAATTAACGATCACAGAAAATTACATACGTGTTTTACAATTATTAAAAGTACTTACAAGCCTAAAATATGATTATTTTTTACGTATACAACACGCATGAGTTGTTTTAAATTACAAAAAATTCGTTTGCCAATTAAGTTTTCATGGAACTGATTTTGTTTTTGTTTTTTAACTTTTCATTTCAGATTAAAATTTTCAATGTGCTTGAAATATATTAATTATTAATTGTATTATTCTTTTAAAACTTATATATTATTTTAAAAGTTATATAATACTTGCACAAATATGGTTATTGCCATCACTCAATTTTGGCTGACAGCCGCCAAGCAAATATTACATAAATCTTCGTTTTTTAAATTATCCAGAATCATATCACAGCATTCGATCGGCAGTCGATAGTGAATTAGTTTCCAGAAAGGATCCAGTGCCCATCGATAGAAAAATCGTCTCGTCGCTTTCTCGCACAGATGCATGACGCAGGCCTTTTGCTGCCTTTCGGGAAGCTCGCGAAAACCTTCGAAGGTATTCGCCACGTCGCAGTAGTTCGTGTGCTCGAGTCGTACCGCCGCCTCTCTGGGTGGTAACTGGATCGTGTCGTAGAAAGACAAGTCCGGTTTTACCATTATGTTCCTCGCCATGGCCAAAAACTCCTCGTCTTCGAGCCAATTGTATTCTTCGAAATCTCGCCACTTCTCGAACATTTCGTATTGGGCGAAAAATTTCATAATCATCAGGGCGTCTTCTCGATCCAGCTTGTATCCTCCTTTCTCGAGACGATTGATAATGGGCAGAAGACGAGTAACATCATCCAATTTAAATTGGAATTTAGTTTGTAAGCAATCGGCTGTTGAAATAGTTTCACCCAATTGCTTGCCAAAGTAGCTCTCGTTGGGGAAAACGAAGTTCGACAGATCGGCACCGTGATCCAAGAGTACATCAACGGCTTTTGGTCTGATATACGCCACAGCCAATTGAAGTGGAGTGAGGCCCTCGCTATTCTTTGCATCTATCAGCACCGGCCGATTGAATGCATTGCAAATATCGAAGTATAACTGCACCCTTTCCCCATCATTTTCGAAGTCATCCTTGGAAATAATGTGTAGAGGTGTAAATCCCTTCTTGTTGGCAAAATTTTGATTGGCACCTCGTTTTAGCAGACATTTGGCCACCTCCGGCCTGCCGTTCAACACAGCTAAGGTAAACGGAGCGTCACCCTCCCCGTTCTCAGCATCGATTTGCACCGGTCGATACTTGTCGTGGCAGGCCTCGAATATCATCTCCACCGAGTCAGGGTCGTCTTGTACCTGGCATAACAAGTGCAGAGCTGTCTCTCCTTTATCGTTGGCCGAGTTCGGGTCGGCGCCTTTTTGCAGCAACAGTCTGGCACATTCAATGTTGTCATTTTCTAGAGCCGAGAGCAGTGGTGTTTTACCCTCTATGTTCCGGGCGTCTACCTGCACTTCTACATGTTTTTCATCACTGATCTCGAACAACATCATGACCAAATCATCTTCGTCACCTTCCACTTCGCATATCGAGTGTAGAGGTGTGAATAATGCATTATCATAATGGGCAGAATTTGGATTTGCACCTCCTCTTAGCAATAATTCGAACACTTCGGTATGTTCGTTGTCCAAAGCTATATGTAGCGGCGAACGACCTGTACATGTGTGGAGAAGATTGGGATCCTGCCCAAGTTCGAGAAATTTCTTGACGATGTCTGTAGATTCATGCCGGCAAGCGACGTGAAAGTGTGTTGATCCATTGTCGGCAGTGTAATTCACATCAAATCGATCGTAAATTTTGAAAAGAGTAGGGATGACTGTATCTTCACCTCTTAAAAGAGCTTCATGTACTGCAGTGGTGCGACGCAAAATTGGCTTGCCGTCTTGGTCGAGGTCAGGCTCGTCTTTGTAGCCGCTGCGAGCCACGAATTCAATGAACCGTGGACTTTCATCGTCTTCGCAAATGTCAATTACAGACTGCCTCAGAAGCCAATCAATTTCTTCTTTCCGGAAAATATCTCGAAGGTTGGGAAGTTGGTCCTGCCAATCGCTGATTAAAGGATCAAGTTGGCGTAGAAATTTGTGTCGATCACTGGCAATCTCCCAATTGATCTTTGAGTACAAGCTCTTCAATATTTCCAATTTTTCTTGGTTAGTACCAGCCTCGTGTTTGCATTTAGAGTCGCTGTTGGACATTTTGATTTTTTTACACTGACGAACGCACGCACATACACACACAATATGTTATTTTTTCACTAAAATCACTTGCAACAGTCGACGCGATCTTCTCGCGTTTTTTTTTACGCTGCTGCGTGGTTAAATGTATAATGATACTCACAATGAGAGACAATTAGAGTCACTAGTAGTACGTCTAGTAAGTGTCCTTTTTAAGCATTGAAAAAACCAAACATTATACTATGAAAGATTGTGCACATAGGAGCGTCCGTCTATGATGTTAGTGGCTCCACCAATTTCAGGGCGTCTGTACGTAGGTCTTACGCGCCGCGACGCGTCGATCAGGGTTTCCACTGCGAAATAAAATATGAGCCCATCCGATTAATGTAGAGGAAATATTAACCTTTAAGTATTCGCATCGCATCGTTGAAACCCTGATTTACGCATCGACGCGTAAGAGCTATGCAGAGACGCCCTCAATGTATAGGTAACTCGTTGATCATTGTACGCACGGCGATTTCCAGTGCAGAGCACACACAGCACATCTGCGCGCGCATCTCTATAGATACAGTACGCAGTATGCCTGCGTGTAAACGCGTCTAAAAGGCGAGTGATTAACGCACGACTTTAACTCACGATTTTTCAGCTCGTTTTGAATACTTTGATTTAAATTTTTACGCATTTGACTTAAATTATTGAGCAAAAAAAGTCATTGCGAGCTCTCAATATTAATAATAAACAAAGTGGCGAATTTTTCGGAAAAAAACGTCTAGTACTGATTTTTTTCCGAATTAAAAAAATGTTTTATGAATTTTCAAATTTAATATTTTTAACTATACCATGTTGAAGAACAATATCTAAAAATGATTTGTGAATTTTTCAGATTTTTTTAATCAGCAAGTAAAAAGTTTAAACTACACTTATGCGACCCTCGTGCGCCCGCACCGGCTCGTGAAGTGTATTATCACGGCGAAACTGTATGAGTTTATTTATCCTTTTTTTTTTTTTACCCTTTTATGTTTTTATCTTATTTTTTTAATTTTGTATATTTCAGAATGCTTTTGATCATTATTAAGTTACAAAATGATGAATTTAAATAGTTCTGCTTAACTCTTTGAAGAAATAGTTGATCAATATAATGTTGAATCACCGGATAAGCATATAGAATTTTTTTTTAAAACACCCCACGAGTGCTGAGCAGCCAAGCTTTAATTTAGGATCAAAAACGTTAGGATTAATCAATTATTTCAAAAATTACACAGTAAAGAAAAAAAAGGTTTTTGTTTTTATTTTTTGAAAATTTTAGTTTCTTTCATAGGGTTAAATTTTTTATTGATTGTTTTTTAATTTGAGATGTGGTTTTGAACGATGAGTAGGCAAGCTTGAGTTTTAGATAGATAACGTTGGCATTCATAAATTATTTTAAAAATTACATCGCGAAGAAGAAATTTTCTTTTTTTTCAGATGGTTTCAGTGTGAATAATTGCTTCATTAGCATTTATAAATAAAATAGGAATAACACTTTTTGCATGAGGTTCAGTGGTTTTTTTATTTTAGATTGGATTTTTTAATTTTCTAGATTTTTTAAAATTTTTTATTTCATTTTCTTATTGACATCACTCAACTTTGGCCAACACCCGCTAAGAAAATATTACATAAATCTTCGTTTTTCAAATTATCCAGAATCATTTCACAGCATTCGATTGGCAATCTATGGTGAATTAGTTTCCAGAAAGGATCCAGTGCCCATCGCTGGAAAAGTCGTCTCATCGCTTTCTCGCACAGATGCATGACGCAGGCCTTTTGCTGCCTTTCGGGAAGCTCGCGAAAATCTTCGAAGGTATACTCCATGTAGTCGTAGTCCGCATGCTCGAGTCGTACCACTGCCTCTCTGGGTGGTAACTGGATCGTGTCGTAGAGAGACAAGTCCGCTTTTACCATTATGTTCCTCGCCATGGCCAAAAACTCCTCGTCGTCGAGCCAATTGTATTCTTCGAGATCCCGCGATTTCTCGAACACTTCGTACTTGGCGAAAAATGTCACAATCGTCAGCTTGCAGTTGTCCCAGTCCGGCTCGTATCCTGCTTCCACGAGTCGATCGATAATGGGCAGAAGTTGAGTAGCAGCTCTCAATTTAGCAACCAAAATATTTATAAAGTGATTCTTGCATGAGTCCATTCTCGATGCCTTGGCAAAGCAGCTCACGTTGGGGAAAACGAAGTTCGACGGATCGGCACCGTGATTCAAGAGTTCGTCGACCGCATCGAAAAAGAAACTCGCCACGGCCCAGTGAAGAGGAGTGAGGCCCTCGTTATCCTTTGCATCTACCAGCACCGGCAGATTCAATTCGTCGCACGTTTCGAAATATCCTTTCACCCTTTCCCTATCCCTTCCGAAGACATCCTTGGAAAGAATATGTAGAGGTGTAAATCCCTCCTTGTTGGCCAAATTTAGATTGGCTCCATTTTTCAGCAGCCAGTCGATCACGTTACAATCACCAGCCCACACAGCCAAGTGCAGCGGCGTGTCACCCTCCTTGTTCTGGGCATTGATTTGCAGCGGTCCATGCTCGTAACGGACCTCCATGAGAATCTCCATCAATTCAGGGTCGGCGGTGTCGTCGTCGTCGTAAATATTCATGCAAAACATGTGCAGAGATGTGTTATATTCATCATTCTCGGCCAAGTTTGGATTGGCGCCTTTGCGCAGTAACAGTCCGGCAATCTCGTAGTTCTCCTTTTCCATAGCCCAGTGCAACGCTGTCCTACCCGTCACGGGTGACCGGGCGTTGATCTCGACCGGTTTACCGAATCGATCACACATCTCGAACAACAAACTTATCGTGTCAATGTCGACGTCGTTCTCTCTCATGCATAAGATGTGCAGAGCTGTAACTTCTTTAAACCCGCCCAAGTTCGGATCGGCGCCTCTTTGCAGTAATAGTTTGGCAATTTCAATGTTGTAATTTGCTAGAGCCAAGTACAATGGTGTGTAGCCGAACACGTCCTGTACGTCGATCTGCAACTGACGTTGTTTTTCCTCACTGATCTCGAATAATATCTTTACAAAATCACCGTCATCGTCTACATCGTGGCATATCAAGTGCAGAAATGTTCTTCCATCTTCGTTGCGGGCCCAAGTCGGATCAGCCCCGTATTTCAGAAGCAGTAGCATAATTTCCCTCTCACCCATTCGCCAAGCAAAATACAGCGGCGAAAACTCTGGTCCTGTCCAGAGGCAATTGGGATCCTGTCCGAGCTCAAGAAATTTCTCGACGACGTACAAACAGCAGCGATGCTCGCAGGCGATGTGAAAGTGCGTCAATCCATCGTCATCGGTGTAATTCACATCAAATCGATCGTAAATTTTGAAAAGAGTAGGGATGACTTTATCCACATCTCTTGAAAAAGCTTCATGTACTGCAGTGGTGCGACGCAAAATTGGCTTGCCGTCTTGGTCGAGGTCGGGCTCGTCTTTGTAGCCGCTGCGAGCCACGAATTCAATGAACCGTGGACTTTCATCGTCTTCGCAAATGTCAATTACAGACTGCCTCAGAAGCCAATCAATTTCTTCTTTTCGGAAAATATCTCGCAGGTTGGGAAGTTGGTCCTGCCAATCGCTGATTAAAGGATCAAGTTGGTGTAGAAATTTGTATCGCTCAATGGCAATCTCCCAATTGATCTTTGAGTACAAGCTCTTCAATATTTCCAATTTTTCTTGGTTAATACCAGCCTCGTGTTTGCATTCAGAGTCGCTGCTGGACATTTTGATTTTTTTACACTGACGAACGCACACACATACACACACAATATGTTACTTTTTCACTAAAGTCACTTGCAACACTTGACGCGATCTTCTCGCGTTATTTTACACTGTGGCGTGGTAAACTGTATACTGGCTCTATAATATAGAATAATATATAATATAGAAATTATAGAACACATGGAAGGCACGATGAAAGCCACGAGTATCTATGTATAGTAACAGTAGGTATGTACAACTACGTTCAACTATGTACAGTAACAGTACGTGTCGTTTTTTTACAGCTGGACTCACGAGCATTCGCACATGCGCATGAAATAGAAAGAGAAAGAGAAAGTGAAAGAAAAAGAGAGAGAGAGACAGTTTCGAAAAGATATACGTACGGATAGATGGGTATCATCTACAAAGATGTTACGATTAATCTGCTTTCATCTACAACTTTGGTATTGGCCATGATTAAAAAAATAATACTGCAGTGTACTGCTGACGTCCCTTTAGAGGATATGTTTATCTTTCAAATTATGAGAGTTGATACGGTCGATGTTTAGTGTAGTAAAAACTATGTAGTAAAAAATGTAATAAGTAAAGTAAAAAAATATAATTAATCTATTATTTAGAGGAAATCAAAAATTTCTTTTTTTTACGCTGCTGCGTGGTTAAGTGTATACTGATATGTACGATGAGACACAATAAGATTCACGAGTAGCTAGGTCTAGTACGTGTTCTTTTTACGCACTGAAAAACTAAACATTATACTATGAAAGATCGTGCGGATAAGAACGTCCGTATATGATGTCAGTGGCTCCACTAATTTCAATGTACAACTCATTGATCATCGTGCTACGCACGCCTATTTCCAATGCGGAACACACGCAGCACATCTGCGCGCGCATCTTCATATAGTACGCGAGATACAGTCTTATGCCTACGATATAAACGTGTCTAATAGGCGAGTGATTAACGCAGGTCTTTATCTCACGATTTTTCAGCTCGTTTTGAATACTTTGATTTAAATTTTTAAATAATTGACTGAAAGTTATCGAGCGAAAATGTCATTGCACGGTGTTCACGTGTAACGGTTGAGGACATGAGGCGAGAGTGAGGGGAGAGCTTGGTGGGGCGACTACCGATTTCCGTGGCTTACGTGTAGTTGCTGTTGTTCAAATCAGTTCAGTAATTAGCCAGCTCAGAGCTAATAAGCACACATTTCCTCTGCTCAGAGTCGCCCTCGCAAGCTCTCGTCTCAGTCTCGGCTCACCGCTTTGGGGCCCAACTAGACGCAGACACGTAGTTATATTTTATTAGTTTCAATAAAGTTACAGTTGTTACAATAAAAGCTAATCACGAGTACGAAACTTGATTTTTACGCAACACCCAAGTCCGACTCGTCGAGTTAATTATAAACAAAAACACACGGTCTCTCAATATTAATAATAAACATAATGTACTGAATTTTTTCCGAATTAAAGAAATGTTTTATGAATTTCCGAATTTTATATTTTTAACTAAATCACGTTTAAGAACAATATCTAAAGAAGATTTGTGAATTTTTCAGATTTTTTTGATCAGCAAGTAAAAAGTTAAACGACATTTATGCGACACTTGGGCGACCGCTCCAGCTCGGAAAGTGTATTGTCGCGGCGAAATCGTATAAGTTTATTTTTATTTACCCTTTTTTAATCCTTTTACCCTTTTATGTTATAATTTTATCCTTATATTTTTTAACTTTGTATATTTCAGACAGTTTTAGATCATTATTAAGTTCCAAATGATGAATTTAAATAGTTGTGCTCAACTCTTAGAAGAAATAGTACAACCGATGATTGATGAGCAGCTAAGCTTCAATTTAGGATCAAAAACGCCAGGATTAATCAATTATTTTAAAAATTACATTATAAAGAAAAAAAAGGTTTTTGCTTTTATTTTTCTGAAATTTTAGTTTCTCTCATAGGGTTAAATTTTTTATTGATTGTTTTTTCATATGAGATGTGGTTTTGAACGATGAGTGGGCAAGCTTGAGTTTTAGATAGGTAACGTCAGCATTCATAAATTATTTTAAAAAAAAATAATCAGTATTATAATATTCATTCAAAAACAAAGTAATGTAAAATAATTTTACAAAAATGAATAATAATGCGCACTGATACCTTAAAAAAATTCAGAATTGATTCAATGAGAAATGCAGACATTAAAATTGAAAAATATTTTAAACAGTGTAATGAATAATACTTTTACGAATATCTTTCTGAAAATGTGTTTCTCTCTCCGCTTACTTTTTTCCAATCGAGCTCATTTCCAATCGATAATAAATCCAAGCGCAGTATATACGTGATATTTTATGCACACGTTGCTCGCACGTGAGACAGTCTCGCGGGGAAGGGAAGGGGGCGAACGAATATAAAAAAATAATCCAGTCAAATATGCCACGCGATTATCGATAAAAATTAAACGCTCTGCGATCGTCTGCTCTATCGACGATTGATATACGCTCTTTACCGCGTCTCCTTCGAATTCCGATTCCCATTTTTTTTACTACACTATATACTCTGCGCCTTTCTCTCGATGCAGAGAGACAAAAAAAAGGTGTCCACCGCAGCAGCAGCAGCGACGCGCGCGTGTCACTTATCACCGAGAGACAGCAGCAGTCAGCGCGCGTGATAATAAAAATGCTGCGACGTCGGGCGTTTTTTCGTTTCTTCGAACGGTGCAACAACCTCTCGCGGACGCGCGCGTGTGTGTGCTCGAGAAAGACACTCGAGAGCGAGAGAGAGAGAGGGTCGTATACATAAAGAAAGGAAGGAAGAGAAGAAGAGAGAGAGAGAAACGATTGTCGTTTAAAAGGTAAATTTGAAAAAATGTCAAAGCCTTTTAGATAAGCATCGATGTATACACACACACACACACACACATGAAAGTTTCCGGGCAGGTATTATAATTTCCTCGAACTTTATCAATAGAGGCGCGTATACCACAAGGCGCATGAAAAGCTGCCGCCCGACGTTAAATGTACATACACGCAGTTTCTGTTTTTCAAGCTACATATACGTACGTACACAGGCGCAAAGTCGCAGGAAGTGCTCTTAAAGGCTCTCTGGAAAGAAAAATAGCCCGATGCTGCTGCTGCTGCTGTGGCTTTTGCGCGTTGTGCTTTGTTTTCAAGCGTATATACGAGGCACGTGTGCGCATGGCAAGACGACGCATCGTCCTCTCTCTCTATTTGAACGTAATATAATATAATACACGGGTAGACACACGTGGTATTGTGTAATTATTTTACAAGTGAGAGCTAGTCTCAAGTATATTTGCTTTGTCGTGCGCGTCTCGCGAACTTTTCACCGGAATCGTCCTCTCTTTACGATAATTGAGCTTAAATCTCTATTATCGTTGTTGTTATTATTGTTATTATCGTTATTCTTGCGCAGGTGTGAAAAATCTTTATCCGTACTGCTGAGGGAAAACTTGACGAAACACGAGCAAAGCTCGTAAAATCATGAAAGACAAAGTAAAGAGAGACATTTTGTAAATACAGATACATTGTGTACTTTCGAGAGCTACGGACTACTCGAGTTGCATCACCGCCGCTGCAGTTTTTAGTCGCTATTGCCCGAAAATACGATGCCGCGATGCTTATTAACGATTCGTGAATCATCCGCCAAGTTTTATCAACGATCGCGACTACGTTACGCGCTACTTAATTAAAATATTTGCAATTAATAATAGATGGTTAAAAAAAAACACGCACAGAGAATAAAGAGAAAAAAAAATATTCTAGTGGAATTTTCTTTATTTTTAGATCGCAGCCGCGTGTGCTCTTTGCTGCCGGCGCTGCTTTGAATTCGAGATGACGTTCGGCCAAACGTGCAACGAACTAAAACACAGAGAGCGAGAGAGAGCGAAGCTTTTATAACAAAGTTCTATATTACGCGTCGCAGCGTATAATACACGCGCGCGTGGATACGTACGATGCATACGTAAAATATATCTTCGTTTTTTCTTCTAAAAACACGCGAGAAAAAAAAATCATCGCGAGTCGACTACTTGTACTTTTGTTTCTCGCTCTCGCAGCGCGACGACATTGTGCAATAATTATAAGCGTGTCGTATCGAACCGTGTGTGTGTGTGTGTGTGTGTCCGCGCTGCAGAAGACTAACGCGCGCGATCGTCCTAAATATTTGCCTCTTTTTCCTCGTCTTTTATGAAACCGCGAGAGTCGAGTCCGATCTCCTACATACACACACACACACAAATGCGCGATATATACAACACACGGCTGGAACGCTTCCAACTGGGCCGAGGCGGAAATCTTGTATGCATGGAATGCTACGTATATACATATACACAACTGCGCGGAGCTCGCTCGAGCATTTGCACGTACGCAGCGGCAGTGAGCTAGTTTTCTGAAACGCGACGTGCGATGCACACACAGCTATATACGATATATATGTAAACCTTTGCACTCTCGTTTTTCTTGATACACTCTTGTTTTTTTTCCGCGATGCATTATTATGAAGAAACGGAAAAAATAATAATAATCAATAGCCTTCGAGACGTCTGCGATCGTCTACGTCTATATTAGCCATTCGGAAATGACAAAAATCTCGATATTTTTCTCATCGTAGCGCCGACGGGCGAAAAATCGCAACGCAAACACCAATGCCGCGATGCTAATCGATCGATTAATAAATGCGCACGGAAGTCTAATAATACGATCATTGCAAAGCTCGAAATAGGAAAATCATTCGACGATCTTAACTCCGCCAGTGATTAGGAATTCACACGGTGCATTATTAATGTCTGTGCCGCGCGACACGCACCGAGTTGTAAAATAATAACCATATATGCTATGTACACACGATTCGCGGACGTGAGAACTCGCCGAGATCCGAAGGTCCTCCGCGACTGCATAATATACAACGAGCGGTACACTATATAATATACTTGTCGCGCGCACTGCTATACGCGTCTGCGTGTATTACACGTGTGTATTTGCGCGCGCGCGATATTACGATGTCGCTGGGCGTGTACTTATACGTATATGCGTGCGCTGATATAATAACATTACGCAGGCGCGCGCGACCGAGTTTGCGTTCGATATTTTTTTCTTTTTTTCTTTTTTAATTTTATTTAATAAATACACGTGTACAATATATGCCTGGGAACTCGTATAAATAAATCGACTATTTTTTTTTCCTTGCTTCTGTTATTCAGAACGCGCATTCACGGCTTGGTGGGGTTTGGAAAATTATTTTAAATAAAAATAAAAATACTGCGAACGCGTCGATCATTATTATCATTATTATTATTGCTATTTCGCTCGTGCTCGTTGCGGGATGGACATTCTCTCGACATCGAAATTAGCAAACAATAGGCGCTCGCGGCGGAAAAATCAACGGCACGGCCGAGAGGCGCACGTGTCGCGCGCGCGAGCGCCAGTAAGTCGATGTCTGTTTTTGCTTCGCATCGCGCACACATATATATCTAAGCTCTCCGTTGCTGCGATCGAAGCTCGAAGCGAGTGGAAAAGTGGGTAAAAAAAAAAGAAGACAATTTAGAGTCGATGTGTCTTATTGTACGCGGAACGCTCGGGGGATATTTATATACGCTGTAAAAAGGCACCTGAACCAACACGCGCGAGCCTACTTTTTTTTTTATTGCATTTCACTCCTTTCTTTGTGCGCGATCGGGCTCTCGACTTCGTCTCTATACATCTCCGTTTCAAAGCTGCGATTTATTATCGTGCGTATTTTTTCCCCTCGTAATCGCGCGAGCTTGCGCGCAAGCACGGTAAAGACGTAGATGTATAAAATAAAAAATTAACGATTGTTAAAAAAAAAAAATCTCGATCGCGCGATCACGTGTACGATCGCTGACAAATATAGCTCGCATGATCAAGGGGTGTGTGTGTGTATGTGCGTGCGTACGTGCGCAGACGCTAGCGCACACGTGCCTTACAAAGCACACACACCTGTTGCCGGTGTGTCGCGCGCGGATAATGATACAACGCGCGCACAAAAATCGTACTCGCAGGTACGATGTTTGATACGAGAGAAGCTTTCGAGGCGCATCGGAGCTTGGGCTATCGACTTTTTTTTCTGAATAAAAATTTGCAAAACAAGCGGGAGAGCTCGCGAGAAACGATCGTATATATATATTTTTGTAAACAAGATCCGACAAGTCAACGAAAGAAAGTGAGAGAGGGGAGAAAAAATTATCCGCGAGTATACTCGTGGCTGATTCGGATATGATATTATCGATCGGTGGCCGTCGAGGCTCAATGAAAGATTGGCTAGTTGAAACAACAGTACACACACACGGACACGCGCGTTATATATATCGAGCAGAGAGAAAGAACAAACATCAGCTGACGATCTGAAAATATCCGATTTCAGCTTCGCGAGGCTCTCTTTCTTTCTCTCCTTCGCAGTGGCTCGGTCTTGAAAAACGCACTCGCTCGCACACGCGGCTTATAAACAAATATTTCGAAAGTCGTCGTTCGTTGATCGCGAGGCGAAGAATAAAAAGGCCGCGAATGAATTATCTCTCGGCATAATGAAAGTCATCGTTTATTATTTTTTTTCTGTCGTTATTATTATATCCGATTACGCTTTTTTACGCGATAAGGACGTGGTCCGTCCGTATCAATTAGAACGCGAGCTTGCGTCGTCGTAGCTGTGGCGAAAAGCGTACAAAAAGCTCGACGTTTATGGAGTGGAGATAGATATAGTAAGAAGATCTACCAGAGAAAGTGTACCATTCAAAATAATCCACATTGTTCTTTTATATCCAAGTTGAACTTAACCGCTTGCGGGTTCGCGATGCGACATCTACCGGCGATCAGTGGCGGATTAGAAAAAGTGTCGTACTCGTTCTAATTATTATTTGCCGCACCGTTATAAGACAGTTGATTTTTGAAAACTTGAAAAATTAAAAACGAAGTATTGAAATAATAAGATGGCGGAATAGAAGTATTAAGTAAGAGGATTTATTAATTAGGAGAGCTTCTAAAAATTTTAAAGAATGTAGAAAACGCTTATTGGCTTCCCTTGGCAGAAAAAATTAGTGTCCATCTGCAATTTCATTAAAATCGTTCACTAACGCGTGTTC